GTGATTCTATTTTTGAGAAGTGGCTGGTAACAGAAGCATACCCGAACAAGAAATCGTGATTTAAATTAAATGAAATTTTTTAAGATTGTTTGATTTATTATTATTAAGTTAAAGGACTTGCTTTCATTTACTATATTAATTAATAAAGTTAATTATTTACTATTAACTTAATTTACGTTCGATATAGTCTGCTAAGCGTTCATCACATACAGGAGCCCTAAATCTAAAAAAGCAGTTGGAACCCATTCTTCGCAACTTTTTTTTCTGTTTCGAATTGCATATGTTTTAAAATTTAGACTAGATTTTCTTTTTTGATAGTAGACAACTCAGATATGATATCTTCGTAGCTATAGACAAATTTAGATTTGATAATCAATCGATAGAAAACATTTTATACCAATCCGATTGTTGGAGTTTTTAATAATGCCAATGTTTTAGTTACACTTTTCATCACACAAATTTCAATAATTTTGGATACATCGACTCTAGTACTGCTTTGTCCACTTTCACTGGTGAACCAATTAGTTAACTAAATGCACGAAGAAAATTTTTCAATTAATAATAAGAATAATATTCTCAAGCCATAAATTAAAATTCAACATATTCTGGACTCTCAGGAAGATATGCTGATTTAAGGTCCGTCATCAACTAAAAGACAAATAAATGATATGATTTTTTAGCCTAATTAAAGCCTAGTGTGGGGTAGTGATAAACCCCCCAGCCATTATAGAGTAAAAGTGCGTAATAGCACTAACTCAAGAAGAAGAAGAAGAAGAAGAAGCATATATCTCAATAAAAGTGCTACAAAGTAGTAATATAATGCAACACAAAATAATTCCATTAAGTTTACACTTTATTGGCTATATATATATAGTATTATCCATAATATTAGTTGTGTTGTACACGCTACAGTATCAGTTTTAATATAATTGAATAAATATAATTAGTATAGAAAATATTCGCTCTCCCAAGTCCTTATATGCATACAGTAATATATATATACTGTATAATAAAGAATGAAATATAGCTTGAAGTTTGAAAATTTGTAAAAATACTAAATATTATAGTTATACTTATTCACAAGAGAATTTTGTTTTAATATCAATTGGCAAAAATAATAAACTGACCTTTGATATTATAAAATAAAAATTTAATACAGATTTATTATCATATATTCTACACAGACCGTCTTTGTGAAATATTTGCTTATTCCTAACTAGCCATAATGAAAAAATCTAAGTAGTGTTCACTTTTAATTATGTTGAAGCTATTTGAGCCAGTGCAGTTAAGCACTTTTACTCTTTCTTAGCCCTTCTTTATCACTTCATCAGCCTAAGCAACAACTGACCTCAGATCTGCATTTCTCTCCGAGGAGATAATGCAGACCATTCTGAGATTCGATAGCGCGGTGTTGGTAGTGTGTCAGTTTTCGTAAATAATTTCGTGGCTCTATCCTTTATGTTTCTGTTTATTTCTTTTAGTATAGTCTAATAATAGTAGTATTAGTTTATTATTAAATAATAGGCTATGAATGCACTCTGACCTAAAAGATTTATTGTGCGCCTAAAGGCCCAACTAAAATAATTCTAGACTTTTTATAAATCTCGAAATTTCTTTGGGCTTAATTTTATGTATTAGTAATAGTTTAATAATTTTCGTGATTGGTTGAAAATTATTTTATTTTATTTTAACTTGAAATCTTGTGTATTTTATGAAATAAATATATTTATTTATATCCTCTTCAATTATTGTACTTGACTTAATTGTGATTTTATATATTTTTTTATTTTGCAGTTAGAAAATTGGCACAACTTCTGAGTGAAAAAATGTAAACAAACTATTGAGCGTTTTCAAAGGTGGCGTGTGAGTGAGACTTCATTTGAGCCAGTTAATTTCCAGTGAGAGAAATTCAGTGCTGCTCACATTTAACCATAAAAGATTCGTCATACATTTGTGGCCAAAAAGTATAAACGCTAAATAACAACGTGACACTTCGACGTGGGAACGCGAACTGTTAAGAACGCTTAACCATTTCAAAATACCTGGAAAAAAACAACTTCAAAAATTAGAACGTCTTGTGTTGTAACAATCAAATAAGTAACAACTCAAAGAAGGACTGTCAAAATTTGGTCACACCAAATAAGACAAAATATAAAATAGCTAAGTACTTTCAAACAAAAATATCTTAACTGTTTAATTAATGACTTATGAAAATTGCATTCAGCATATAAAAAATACATAATTATTTTCAACTAAAATAGTTTTAAAATAATATAAATTAAAATGTAAATAGTGTAAAATTTGATTTAAGCTAAACGCCCAAATGGGATGAAATTAACACATATATGTGTATATATGGATATGTATTAACACTTTATGTAATAAAATCTAATAAAGACCTATTCAAAAATGTAGCAAATTCTTGCGATTGCGGTTAAAACTTAATTATATTTTATTATCAAACTGAAATGAAATAGAAATTGCAATTTGAAACGCTTCGATGTTAAATGTTGTTAAGTTTAAAAACGTGCTGTTACCGAAATTACGTGCGTGTATGTTCGGCGTGTAAATAGTCTACGGAAAGTTCGCCTAAAGGTATGCAATGGTTTTGTGTGATAAGCTGTTAAAGTGACTTATTGGCATAGCAGCAGCAAATACTCGTTTGTAATTAATACAAATAATAAATATTTGCTTTAAAAGTGTGATAATAAAATAAACAAAATTTTTTAATAATATTAAATATTAAATAAAAAATAATGAACAAATATTGCGAAAAATTGTTAAGAGAAAAAATAATTACAAACAAAAATTATTAAATAAAATATAGTAAGCAAAATTAGTTAATAATATGTAATAAACAAATTAAATTCATAAAATATAACAAACAAATTAAATTAATAAAATATAACAAACCAAAATAGTTAAGTCAAAAATAATAAACAAAAATTGTTAAGACAAAAATAATAAACAAAAATTGTTAAGTCAAATATAATAAGTAAAAATTATTGTAAACAATAATAAGCAAAAATTATTGTAAGCAATAATTTGTAAAAAATTATTGAACAAAAAATAATTAAAACAATTATTGAAATAAATTAAATAATAAAACTGTTAAGAAGTAACCGTCACGTGTGGAATGACTGGCAAGGATATGTTAAGTAAAGAAAACTCATCAAATTGATTTCTTAATAACATAAATAAGTACATTTATATATAAATTTTGTATACCTAATGTAATTTTAAAGTCTTCTACAGAAAAATTATGAACTAAAACTACTCTCTAATCTGCTAAAATTTAATTACTATACCATAAATCAAGGAAAAAACCAAATAATGTTTATAACTACATAAGTACATAAGTCAAAATTAAAATTAAAAATTTTTAAAAGCACCTAATTAACTAATTAAACTACTAGTACTAAAAGTTGTTGTAATTATTCTTAAAATAAGCAGTTGAAGAATTATATATACATTTGTATAAATATATATAACTAGCAAAACTTTTTAAAAATATTATAGCTAAATTTTTAATATACATATAAAACAAAAAAAAAAAACAAAAAACAAAATTTACTTCTAAATACTAAATACTAAATAAAATCTAAAACAGAAAATTATAAATCTTACAAAAGTGTATACATTTAAAAATATATTTATATACAAAGTACTAGCTATTTACAGTGTGGAAATTGTTGAACTAGCATATTAAAATTAATAAGTATTAATATGAGTATATTAAATAAATAAAATTACTTAACTAATTCGTAGCTAAAACTTATTCAAAAATTTTCAATTATAACTATTTTCAGTAACTAAATTTTCATACTCAAAATTCAAACTAATACACTTAAGTCAATACTATAATCTTAAATCATATATACTGAATATATATATATATATATATATATATATATATGTATATATATAATTAAAAATTATTAGTTAATAGTCATAACTAATAGAGAACCGAATTAAATAAGTGGAGTAAAGAGTAAATGAACAACGACTAAATGGTTTTAAGCTTATGTAACTAACAAAACTATATAATGCAAAATATAATTGCCATAGAGAAACGCATATATAAAAATATTATAAACAAATTAATAAATACAACAGAAATTATTTATACATATTAAAAAATAAACAACAAACCAAAAATAAAACAAAAAACAAATAAAACAGTAAGAAAAAACATTTTATTGTAACAATATTATATAAAACAAAGGTAGATATTATAATAAACTATATATTTTGATAAATAAAATAAATAAGATTGCACAAATATAAGTATATATATAAAAAAAAGTGAGACATACCATTTAACTTTTAAATCAGTATAAGAAATTGAATAAAAATCCATAAATTATTGGGTCCAATGTTGCAGCAACAAATATGCTTACAGCCGACTAGTAATTCAAACGATTATACGCGCAACAAATCAACGCAACATTTTGAGAAACATTTTGTGCAACAACAACATGTTGACAAGGATCAGCAGTGCAAGAAGAACATACAACATATTGCAGCAACATACTCATTAACTTTAAAGAAAGAGAAAAAGTTAGACGAACACGAAGACGTAGACGAAGAAGAAGAGGAAGAACAAAATAAAGATATTAGATTTACTTTACCCTTATTATTAAATGCCAACAACGAACAAGTATGTAAACATAATCAGGGAGAAGGGGAAGATGTAAAACAAGTACAACAACAACAACAGCAACAACAACAACAATTAAAACAAAAACTTGTTGTTGAAGAATGTATAATAATATCGGATAAAAACGCTTTCTACAACAACAACAACAAAAACAAGCATAAAGTATACAACTCAACAGCACAAATTTTAAAAAATAATAATGCATTTGTTAAGAAATGTCCTAAAGCGCAAAATAATTTAAACAATATGTTGTCAACACAACAACAACAGCAGCAACAATTGCATTTGCAAAATAAAAAAATTATTAAATTAATTGCTGTTGAAGATGAGGAAAATGCAACAAATTTTTATAAATTGAAGCAAATGAAAAATTCTGACATTAAAGAAAATTTCTCTAATTTTTCTCAAACAGCACAAACTGGAGAGACAACAAAAATTAATATAACTGATAAAGGTGTTGCTGAAATGTCAGCAACAAATTTAGCAGCAACATTGATATTAACAACAGATCAAACAAATCAAACAAATCAAACCTTAAATGCAACGGCGACAACAAAATTTTCATTAAACAACATCAAGCAACAACAAATTAATGAAGCACCAAAAAATAACATTGATGATGTTGCAGTTGATAATAATGTCATTAGCCATAATTCTGTTGAGCAGCAGCAGCAGCAGCACCAACAGCAGCAACAGAAAATAGAAAGAGAAATATTAAAAGCAGCTGAAACAGTAACAGTAACAATACCATCACAGCAACATGAGGAAGAGCAGCAAATACATTATTACAATAGCAAGAAGACGATAGATTTTAATAGTCGTCGTCGTCGTGGTCGCCTAAGGTTAGGCAATGATGGCAATTTGTTGTTGCCAATGTCAACAGTAAACGAACAACAACAGCAGCAACAACAACAGCAACAGCAACAAATTGTTGCAGCTATAATGACTGCAATTAGCATGCCAACAGGCTTGTTGTTGGCATCATGTGCATTTGCTTGGAAAATTGCTTTACGTACAAAATTGTTGGTATTATTGTTGTTATCGTTAATAGTTGAGAGTGTATATAAAACCAAATTATTAGTATTATCAGCAACATGTCGTTTATCGGACAACATAAGAGCAACTAAAATAGTTGTTGACATAGACTCAAATGAAAACATAAACTCAAACTCAAACTCAAATTCAAATTCAAATTCAAATTCAAAATCAGTCACAACAGCTTCAGCTTTAGTTAAAAACTTAGCTACGATAAATATGAATTCGGCCTATGCTACGAATAAAAATGTTATGAAAATCGCTAAAAATGCAACAATTGCAACAATTGCTACAGTTAAACGACAGCAGCAGCAGCAGCAGCAACATATTATAATTGAGAAAAGCAAAAAAATGCATAATAAACGCTTAAATAAAAATTTATTATCATTTGTTACTGGTACAATAAAAGCCATCACCTCATATATCAGTGCAAACAATATGCAATCTATTGTATTTGCCTTCATATTGTGCACATCCATTTTACTTCCATGCAGTAGTAATGTCGTTTCAGCTGCCAAACCGAAATCAGCAACACAACTGCAACAACAAAAGCAGCATCAACATCAACATCAACATCAACATGAATCTCAACAAGGTATTGGCATGGCATATGATCATGGTCATGGTTTTGGTGGTGCTGGTGGTGGTGGTAGTGGTGGTGTACTAACTCCACCATCATATCAGGTGATACCATCGCAAACATCGAATGATGATACCGAATTTATGTATCCATCTTCGCAATTTGATGATGCCATTTTTGAAGGAGGTGAATCAGACGAAGAAGAAGATGTGAATGAAATGAATGAAAATGCATCATATGAGACGCACAATAACAATGGTAAGTTTTGAATAGTACTGTAGTGAATAGTCTCTCATTTCAAGGTTAATCCCTTGAAATGGTCACCCAACCTGAGTTTTTGAAATTTGATCTTTTTTGTTGGTTAGTAAAACCGCTCATATTTAATATATAAACATTGATTAAGAGTTTTTGCATTAATATTCATATAAATACTTATTAGATTTAGTGTAAAAGTTTTTCACGTGTTGGTGAAAAAATGAGCTGCAACATTTATGGCTTGTTTCAACAACAAAAAATGTTGCTTAAAGTATGATCTATACCAGAGTTTATGTGAGTTCTTTATAGCTTTATACAAGAAATGTGCCTAAAAATAGATACATTCACAAGGTGTTGGTGAAAAAATTAACTGCAACATTTATGGCTTATTTCAATAACAAAAATGTTGCTTAAAGTATGATCTATACTAGAGTTTATGTGAATACTTCATAGCTTTATATAAAAAATGTAGTTGTAAATAGACACACTCACAAGTTGTTGGTGAAAAAATGAGCTGCAACATTTATGGCTTGTTTCAACAACAAAAAATGTTGCTTAAAGATCTATATCAGAAAAATGTGGTTTAAATAGACACACGCACAAGGTGTTGGTGAAAAAATGAACTGCAACATTTATGGCTTGTTTCAACAACAAAAAATGTTGCTAAAATGGCAACCTATACCAGAGTTGTACGAAAAGTAAATCATATGCCGAATGCAATCCACAGCGTGGATTCGTGTGGCATATTTGAATAGATGTTTTATAATTTAATACAAAGAATGTGCCCATACCTAGACCCATTTACAAAGCATTGGTGAAGAACTAGCCACAACATTTACGTCAAAAACAACAACAACAAAAATGTGACTAAAACGGGTGACATATACCAGGGCTGTCCAAAACTCATGCATAGCGTACGTTTGTGCGGCAGCCACAACAATATTATAGTTAGTATTAAATCCAGCCCTGTAAGACTAGTGATTGCAAAAAAATATCTCATTTTTCATAAATAAATTGTACATTTAATATTAATATCCGTATGTATGCAGGTAAACAAATTTTCATATATATAAATAAAGCCATTATACGTTCATGTTTCTAGTATACCTTAACATGTATCCATGAATAATATATGCTGCTCTTAATTGTTTTTAGTTAGTGCAGCCCAAAGTGCTAAACGTATAATCGCCACAATTCAATATGCTGCATATTATATATATGTACAGGGTTATACGATTGAAGTGTTACGATATGGTCAAGCGACCACATCTTATTTGTGTGAAATTATTTTTTATTGATTTAAATCACAAAAATATGTGGAAGTAATCAAAATTTTAGAATCCATTCAAACGGCCTTCAAACGGTTATAAAATTAGTTGCACACTTCACGAATATGATCTTCCGATATTTTGATCTAGTCTTTACATTCGTCTCTAAAATGGCCCAGATGGAATAATCCATCGGAATTCCATGGGTGAAATATGTTTTGTTCGCTGTCTATGTGCACAAGTGATCCGGCATGCACACTTTTCGCTTACTATCATCAGTTATAGGACTTCAGGGTTATAAATACATGTTTCATTAAATTACAACTAGTTCAAGTGTAGAGATCTATCAAGCCAATCAAGTTTTGTTATATTTTACAATACCTTTTACAATTTTCAAGTTGTCAAAGACTTAGTGCTAATGTAGTATTAATCTAAATTATTATTAGACTACTAAGCAGATCTGAAGATTTAATTCGTTTAAGTTTCCTTATGATGGTGGGCTGTCTCGTTTAGGTGCTGTTGTAACCGTTATTGGTGCTTTATCGCAAACTTTTGTATTACTGCATCTACAGATTCGATCTTCAACTGCCGATGAAGTTCAGTATGTCTAATCCACCACTAAGCGTTGACTAAATATCTTAGAACTTTGTTTTGAAAATTTTGGATGATGCACATCCCCATAACTGGATACCGCACGTCCATATCGCAGCTAAGACTTCCTTGTATATTATTAATTTGTTGCTTAGAGAGACAGACTGCTTCGACAAGCTGTGGAATAAAAGTTTTTTTATTGTGAAAATTAATTGAAGAATCAATTACATATTTCTAAAAATCTTCTCGTTTTCTTAGATGGTTTTTAACTATTCAATAAGAAAATAAAAATTACTGCTTTCACTTCCACTTTCTAGTTATTTCTAGTCATTAAGTAGCAAGTCGTGTTCTTGTAAAGAAAAAGTTGAAATTCTAATAAAATTGAAATCGTATTTAATACAAAATATATATGAAATCATGTATGAATTGTTGTGAAGAATTGTAAAAGAATGCAAATTAAAGAATTGCACAACATCAAGACTTATGCAAGCAAGACCCATATTTCCACAAACGCCATCTGAAATATATTTGCAACTAAACTGATTTATTTTAATGCCTAAATACCAGCAAAATAGACAAGTAAGACCTGAAAAGTATAACTAACTGCATGAACAGAGAAAAAAAAATAATTCAAATAATAAAATTCAAACATTTGCCAGAAAATACGTAATCCGTTTTAAATGCTCAAATAAAGCAAATAGAAAAATAGAAAAATAAAATATGATATCATCATGAATATTCAAAAGACCAAGAAAACAAAACTATATATATATATATATATATATATATAAGTACTGCTTATATGTATGATGAAGCCTCAAACAAAGGTTAAAGTTGAGCAGCAAAACTGCAACTTTTATAAATTGCAATATTAGAGAATTTCTTATATTGAAAATATATAAACAAATTTATGTACAAAATAAATAAATTGCACAAAACATGATAGTCAAATGGCAAAATTTGGCAAAATCATTACTAAACAATACCAAACAATACTAAATAAAATTGCCAGCCAAAAGTACATGAAATCATTTAATTTAAATATACAGCCAAACACAAAATGTTGAGAAAAGCAACCAAATAATTATGAGATATATAAAGTATATACATACATACACATATATGTGATAATATAAATACTGAAATTATATATATATACATATATATCTATATAACACATTTTTGCTGCATAGAAATCTTCACAAAGCGGTCATGTTAATGTGTGGGTAGGTATGTGGTGAAGATTGCTTTCATATTTAGCATCAAAGGTCACAATTGTCATAAAAATACTGAAGCATACTTCTCGGCATTATGTTGGGGCATTATATGAAATGTTAATTCAAAAATTCCAGAAACATTTATGCAGCTTCTTTTATGACAAAATGTCGCCTCTATTTTTCGAGTGTTATTAAAGAATTTCATTCTTTGCATTTCTGTTTGCCACATCGCAAAACCACCACGTAACAGACATATATACATATATGTATATATATGTATATGTGTGAATGTATGTATTAGTTATTTGCAGATCCTTTCGACTTTTATACGCTTCATTAATTTTCTTAATGATTCAGTAAGCATTTGTTTATATGTAAAATGCATAAGTTCTATTTAAAAAAGAATTTAATAAATATATTCATAGTGATTAGATGTAAGAGAGACATAACGAAACGCAATAAAATATATTAAAAATACAATTTAAATTATGGTAATTTTAAGTAATACAAAATTTCAAATCTGATAATATCAATGTACTTATAAAATTAAAATAGATGAACTATAGTACAATGGTAGCCTTAACGTGATCAACAATTTAATCAATATTCAACAATAGAGTTTTCCATATTACCGCATTATTAATATTATTGACAATATTCTAACTGTTGACAATATCTTCTACTCAATAACTAGATTGGGTCAAATTGAAGTGGCAACCCTATGCACCAAAGTTCTTTTCAGCACAAATAATGAACCGTTACAATACCAATATCGTATTTTCATCTAGAGACATATGGTTTTCAAGAGCTCCCTATTTAGGAAGCGGAGAGTGTCTGATCATTTTTAGTGACGCATCGAAAACAAATACTGATGTTTTCAGTGTTACCGCATTATCCGATAGCATTATTCTAACAATATACTAACTGCTGACAATATCTTCTACTCAATAGCTATATTAGGTTAGGTTGGATTAGCAACATTGTGCACCAAAGTTCTTTCTACCACAAATAATGATTCGTTACAATACCAATATCGCATTTCCATCTAGAGACATATGGCTTTCTATTTAGGAAGTGGAGAGTGACTGATCATTTTTACTGACAGATCCAAAACAATTAGTAGTATAGACAGTGTAGTTTTCTTAGTGAAACTGAACAAATCTTCCTGCTATTGGCTTTCGTATCATTGTAGTATTTTTCAAGCGAAAGTGATCTCTATTAGGGTAGCTATAGCTTGTCTGAAAGTGGTTGTTATATATAACAGGAATATATACATATTATCAGACAGTCAAATTGTTCTTAAGTCTTTGACTTCAGTTCAATTAACATCTAGTACAGTCTTTAACTGCTACACATCTCTGAACGATATGTCGGCGCAGGTCAACATTTCTCTAATCTGGATATCCAGTCATAGGAATATTTTTGGCAAGTGTAGAGCAGAGGAGCTAGACAGAAGTGGTGCTTCAACGATTTGATTGCAATAGCAAACACTTGAAACTTCAAAGTATGCCATGAAAAAAATTTGATGATAAAATGAAATAACTATCATTTTAATTTTATAAAAAAATTAACAATAATTTTGGCAGATACGAAAAATTTTAGAAAATTCTTAGCACTTTTGGCATATATTTTTTAGTAAAAACGGCTCTTTATTTTGTTTAGATTATCACAAATTTTAAAATATCATGGATCTACGTAGGGTAATATTTTAACTAAAAAATTTCTTAATGCTTTTTGATATTAATAGTTTGAATGTTTAAAGTTTTCTTCAGGAGGAGGAGATGTGGACTGTATGAACTTACATCAACAATTTATAGTGAACTATTATAATCTGCCAATCGTTGGAAATAGCAACGCCAGGTATTTGCATCCAGAACTTACACGAGCTGTACAACATCAATTTGAGGAAGAAATTCGTCTGATTCATCTTCGGTTGCGGCGTTTAATGCATATTCCCGATACAGCATTTAAGCCAGATCTACCAAATGAGCTCCATATACGTCCTTTCATTCCTATGGTCTTTACTTCAGAGTACAGTCGAATACACCGGCCTTTACACTTAAGGTTCCAAAAGCGACTTGACGCTTTAGTCAAGAAATGCTACCGAGATAAGTGTGTTCAGTTAAGTATCGAAATTGAGAGTAGAATGAAGATAACGTATGTACTTGCGACTACTATGGCTGTCGGATTAGGTTACTTGCTCTGGTATGGTTACACTAAAATTCGAAATCTAATTTTGTAATCAAAGTTCTTGAAATTAACAACATCTATTATTAAGTAGTCCTTCGTTATTACGGGTATTTGTTTGACAATGACTCACATTGTTTCGGTAATTTATCTCAAATTATTTTATTTTTTATTCATTTAAAAAATAAAATAATTTGTGAATATTTTGTTGAGCTGAGAGTCACACTTATGTGTACAAATTTTCATTGAATGAACAATTTTATTTCATAAATTCACGGAATTAAAAAATTTCAAAATAAATATTTTGACTACCTTTTTAAAATAAATATTCCACATAATATCCTGAATCTAATGAAGGGAGTTAGAGAGTTGCATTCGTCCACAAGTTTGTTAGGTATTTCCACACTGATAATATTTTCATTACAAGAAATCCAGAAAAAGGTTTCCGATCAACTTGAATTAAGTGGTTCTGGATTGATGACATTTTCTAACTTCCTAGAGTTTCTCTATTTTAGAAACTTTATAGTGCAGATTATATATTGTATGCATTTTTTCTTAAGGTCTGTAGAAAAACTCTATACTGAAACGACTACAATGAGTCTTGGGTGATGGATGACAGCACTATTTCGTCCGGTTTCAAGTTTTAATCTGTCAGTAAACCGACTATACGTATTAGAGATTGTTAAAAGTGTATTGAAGTGAATCCGTTATTCAATTGAAAAAAGTGTGGTAGGTGGAGTTTTTAAATATGCCTCAAGTTTTTGACATTGTATAGCTAATATGCAAAACAAATAAATTTACAGTTTGTCGTAACTCGCAGATTGTTTCTAGGTCTCGTAGGATGTTCACACGGAAAAACAGGAAGAATGTGTCATAAAGTAGTATCCTTAGCTACATTCTTCATTTGTAATGCATATTCAATATGTCTTCAATTGACCAATGCTACTGCTTTCTTTAGCAGTAAAAAATATAACAGAATCGATGAAGAAAAAAATGCAGTCTCCAGACGATTTAATAGGCTTATAAGCTCAAAATAGCGCATTAAATTTAATGATGCTAATTCAGTTCGTACGAAATTCTCGCTAAATAATATAGCACAAGAGCCTAGATATGAGAACGGAACCAACATTCTATATGTAAGTGCAGTTTCACTAGCCGTGTTCAACCCAAAACTCTGCAAAGTGTTGTTTCTTAAGTGCAGGTGTAAGGATTTATCGATTAATAAATATTTTTCTTAGTACAAATAAATCCTGAAATCAATCCTGAAGTCAATTTTTAAACCCATTTTGAAGTTCATGAGATCGCATTATGGCACACTATGTCTGGGAAAATATTTCAGTTGTAAGCGAATCTAATTAATTACTTCTAGCGAATTCACAATTATTGTCAACCTAAAAAGTGTTATAATCTTTTTTACTAGAACCATTTTACTTTAAGTTGCTTGTTCCAACAACAATTTTTCTTTTTCACTAACCATATTTTGTCCATCAAAGCACTAAGTCGATAGTTGTGAAACATAGTGGTAATATATTGTACTTTGATGCCACTTAACTGCACTATATTTAGTGTTTATGAGAGAGTATAAAAGTACTATAATATAATATGGAGGTGTAATGAGTTTAATATAAAAATTTACTTTGACTTAAATGTGTCTATATTTCCTATCATGCTCAGATTGAGATGTATAGGTGTACTTTTTATGTGATAATTTTTTTTTTTTTATAGTTTCTATAAAGAAGTAACCGGAATAGATACTACCAGAACTTTCTATTTTTAGTTAGTACCACTGCATTATCTTAGTATGCGAGATTTTATCTCTTTGCAGTACCCACTCTATTTACAGCAAAATCATACTATTGAGTATGCTGAAATAATCACAATGTCTGATATCTGTGTAGCCTAGAGACTCAGCGAAGAATTAATATTGCCAATAGATAATACTTCGGGCTAAGTAGGCAGTTCAGAAATGAAGTCCTAACTCGACAAACAAAAATCACGTTATACTGAACTGAATGAAAACTCTTCGACAGATCTATGATCCCTTACATGTTAGCAAGGAGTTACGAATAAGATAGAATTATAAGCTGTAAGAGCTATACAACGAGATTGATATAGTTAAACTCAACAGCTTCACTAGCTTGATCAAGTCGTACGAATGAGTGAAACCGGTTCGGCTAGAAAGGTGACCAATGATATGAAGATACTTGGTAGTACCAACTTGCGACGGTAAAGTACTGATTGGTCTTATCTGTATTTGATTTGTTTTATTTGATTGTGTATTAGAGATTGTGTAAATAAGTGCAAGAATTATTCTAAAGACTTGTCCGCTAATATTTCACAAAAGTAGTATTATTTGAAACTAAATTAGGTGATTATGTTATACGATGATTGCACTTCTCATATTGTTGAAATTGAGAATTCTATACTATAAGGCTACCATATTGATAGCAAATGACAGTTATTTGCTTCTATTTTTAGTATAAATGAAATTGGAGATATGATTTTTAAACATTGACACTGTGTTTACACAAGAAGAAAAATATATTCCTAGCTGTAGATGTATTAAAAGCATTGGATTGTAAAATAAATTTGTAAAGAATTTTTTGTTTGGCGACTTAATTTTAGGATTTTCACCTTCCTAATTTGAAATTGTGATTTTGAGTGCTCATGTATGTATTTTCTAGGGCAAGGACTACTCAGTAAAGAATTTATGTAATAAAAATTATTTGATATGAAAGACTTTTATTGGTGTTGACACTAATGTGATGCGCATTTTTTATTGCATACTTTCGAGCACTGGCAACAACTCATCTGTCACTGTTTTGTGTAGGTGTCATATTAGCAGATTATAAGTAAATAAGTGTGTTTGTGTACTATGCACATGGGTTTCTTGACTGGTGGTGTGATTAAAGGTGTTCTTTTTTGTGTAATTACACAAAAATCAAATAAAAAAAAATTAAGTACGATTGTTAGTTCGATTGTTGTTGTTCGTTTCGCAGCTGCCTTCTGAAGTGGTACAAGTGTTAAATATGTACATATATTTTACACTTATATGAGTGTGTAAGTAAATGTCACTGCTTTTGTGTTGAGCATTATTAATGATGTCATTTTGTGCCAGCTATCATCATGAATGATTTGTGAAAATACCAATAAGACCTACAAATTAGCACAAGTGTCAGAGTAAATATTACCAGCAATACAATTATAGACACGTATACGTTTTTTGCTACAACTGAATCTAAAATGTAACCATGAATAATGACGTCAAGTGTGGCCCAAACTGCAGAATTTAATAATATTGTTATGTTATTTCTTCTTGTTATATTAATAATGTACGGTGTAAATGTTTTTAGAAATATGAATGATATATGTGTACTTTAAGTACCCGGTATGGTTGGATATATATGGGGTTACAATATATTAGATTATTTGAAAGCTTTGTTATCTATCTATTTATATGCTTAGATGAGTACCCCTATTATGTTAAATTGAGCAATCTTATGAAGTTTTATTATCTTTTACGCCTACAAATATCTCGCAGTCTTATTTAGGTCAGTCAACAATTGCTCATTTGTTTGGAGTAGAAGTACTGCATATTTTTGAGCGCAACCATATAGAGCTAAGGCAAGAGCAGATTTTAAAAACACAAGAACAGAATAAGTGCTCTCAACCACCTCAAATATATATTGTAGTTCTCTTAGGCTATTAATGTATAGGAATTCCAAAACGATGAATTCTTTTTAATAATCATTAAAAAGATCAGAGAGAATAGGTTATTAGGTAAGAACTTCCTTGACACTCTGTCATAGTCTTTATTGACAATGATGAAGAATCTGTGTTATATTATTCTTAAACTCAATTTAACGAATACAGTTTTATTGTGGGTTTCTTAACAGTGATATGATGTTATAGAGGGCAAGTAAGTACTTGTATGACTTGTGGGAAATAGATAGACATTTACTAAGTAGCCGAATATTAAGTAAACCAAGGGAATTGCAGTTTTTCAATAATAAAAAATGATTGAATCTATAAATATTAACAGTAAATAACACTAATGATTAAAGAAATACTTGTTGAATAGATTTTTACTTTTGTACTATTTGTTCAGATGAGAATCAGATATTTTACTGCTTTTCTACCAATCCCTTCTTAGTAACATAGTAATGTTGGAAAATTAAAATAATTAATAATGTAAGAATCCCTCATTCGATTGTACGTGTAGTTTTTCATAAAATTTTATATTAAAAGTAATTAAAATAATTGCATGCACTTTAGCTCAATGTATCTGAATGAATTAGTAATGCATAGTAAACTTTTTGAAATGAAATATGCTAATGGAAATCAAATAGTTGATGCATAATTTATCAGCACTTACTTTAAAATCATTAATTGGGTCATTTGCATATTAATTACCACGCCAAGTACACTTGTAATTTATTTAAGTTGAATGAATGGACATATGCATTGATATTAGACGTGTATCACGTGTCCAGTACTGTCCAGCAGAATTGAAGTATTTGGTGTACAACTGAATTCGACCAACTGTTACTGTATTTAAAGCTGAACTATCTGCACTCATATATCAAAGCTTGACTAGATGGATTAGAAAAAGGATTTTGTGCATGCATTCAATGACACATTTTTGTGCAAATTACATCGAACGGTGTCATAGATACCATATTTCATAGAATAAAATGTGTGTAAGTGCAATTAATTGCTATAAATAATGAAAGTCCTGAAAGTAATTCATGAGAGAGCACATATGCTGTTACTGGAGAGGAGTATTTTATGCTTATTTAGAATTAGAATAAAAACAGAAAAAATTCTTTTGAAATTTTTCATCTAACATTTCGATCTAAAAATTAATTCAAATATTTTATAACTTTTAACATCTTTGAACTGACTTTAAAAATTTCTTCCGAAACAATACATTTATGCCATGGTGCTTTCAATCGCGGAATCCATTATATTATGCCCCATCCATATGTATACACTAAGAGGTTTCTCTCATTTCAGTTGTATTCAGAAAAGTTTTTATTTTCTCTAGTTCTACATACAGATCAACTACTTTGTTTTGCAGATCAATTTTTGGAGCTGAGCAGTCTTCCGAATGCTTCTGAGACTGCCATACATAGTTTGCATTCCTCTGTTTCTGATAGTATATACTGTGCGTTATGTTTATTTAAACACTTATCAAACATTGTTTTAAAATCCGTTCAGTACAGATTAAAACGGTTTTCTTCTAAGAGTAGCTTGAAGAATTTGCT